CTGTGTGCAAAAATCAGCAAGTTCCAATTTGCAGCATTAGCCAAGGCACAGGAGGGAGCTGTGAACCATTCGTGTCTCAGTAGGGCAAACCACCCCATCAGTTCTGGGAGGTGGAAAATTCTCACTGTCTGAAGTCCCACCAGAGCTGGAGAAACATTTCCCTGCTCTTCCCAAACACAGACTTTTCTATGCAGTTGCACAAGGAGTACAGAAAAGAGTTGTGCTGACACTTAGAGGAAGACTTAACTGTCACTGTTGCATTTGTTGAGGGGGCAAATGATACGCCATCTGTCTTCAAACACCTATTGGCATTCCTGTTGTTTGATGACCATTTTAGCCTCTTTCATGCTGCAGTAGTGAGTTTGAATAGCTTCATTCATGACAGTTATTGTTCAGAGGGGCAAACAATTTAAATATTGATACGGATATTGATATATCCATTCGATAAGGATATTGAAATACTTTTTAACAGTTAGCATGGCAGGTTAGTATATGTAATGTTAAAGAAGCATGTGTTGCAATTAAGAAAAATAATCAACTAAGCAGTTAAACATCAGCTTTTGAGCTTTTTGCTACAAAGCGCAGCAACAGACCCAATTCAGCAGTCTGCAGTATATACAGATACAGAATCTGAACTGAAATATTCGACTACAGATTTCATATTATTTTGATTTGCTGAAAATCCACCATTTTAGCTAGATGCAGTGATTTCTGTGGCACTCATCCTCTCTGGTAATGAGGTGTATTTATAGAAGTTTTTGCACAGAGGTCTTAGTGTTTTGACTGATCTAAGACCAGTCAATCTATGCCTGTAGACAAGACCAAATTTAGCAGGGCAATCAGTTTCCACTGCTGCCTTTAGACACACAGAGGAAATGTTAGTGAGTCAGGAAAATTATTCAGATAGCCTTTCCCAAGGGGCTTTTAAGCAATGTGCCAGCAACACATCCATCTTCAAACAAAGTTGCAGCTGTCCTGCCGTGGATGGGAGAGCACATAGGAATTTGGGACTGAAGATTTCCTCATTGCTTGCCTGTACAACCAAACATTCACCTGCCAAGTGACAGAGAAGGAGTCCCAGCTCATTGCCTGAAGCACCCTATTAGGAGACTGCAAATCCCACAGCAGCCGAAAAATCAAATACAGGTGAAATTAGGAATGAGGAACTCTTAAGTAAACACTTCTGCATCAGGTGCAAGTGTGCTCGGTGGGCATCAAACAGTCTGTCTTCTGTGTATCATCTTGTTAAGGTTTGAGATTTTCTGCTTTTTAAGAGCGATTTAAACTTTTTATCCACTGCATGCTGTAGCTTTCTGCAGTCCTGAAGAAACTGAGCTGTGCCTTTGAGAGACTTGCAAATTTGGGTAGATTTGTGAAGTCATGGTGCTTCCAGATGTCCTTCCATCTTTTAGAGCAGAGCTTTATAGTGGTTATTCTGTTATGTTTATAAAAGGAATTTATGGCTAGCAATATCTTATCTGTTATTAAAATTAGGCTCCATACTTGGATGTCTAAAGATAGAGTCTCTAGATGGGTTTTCTGATGTTCAAATTAAACAAATCAAAGAGAATTTTTTTTACTCTCCACAAATAAAATGATGTTATATTCATTAGCAGTTGGAGAAGATGCTTGGTAATTTTCCAAGTGCAGACTATAGCCTGGATTAAGCATGTAACATCAGTCTGAGTACCTATAAAGCCTCACTGGCCTTCTGCTGGATAACAACAGTAAATTGTATGGCTTTGTATGGAAGTTGGTTAAGGCTGACGTACAACCACCACTGCACCAAGCTCCTCTAAAATGTTCCATTTTCTACAAGCAACGGGGACAGATGTGTCACTCATGGTAGGTGCCAGCCAGATTTGTTGAAGGGGAAACCCTTGCAAGGGTGTTAAGGAGAGTGAAGTACATGTCGTCCTTTCTTCTGATGAACAATCGTTCCTGATATCACTGGGGTTTACCACCTGCCCTGTTTGCAGCTGCAGTGTTTGCTTCCATCTCCCATACACCATCCGCTCTCCTGCACGCAAGCGGTGCTGTCCCAACAGCTTATTCATTGTTGTCCTTGCTTTGCTATGGCATAACAGAGCTGGCTGCCAAGCCAGCTGTGATCCTCTAACCTTTCCATAAACTGCTAGATCTGATTTACAGAAGCTCTGTTTCTTCCCTGCTGAAATCTTAGATTATGTGCACCACAGCTCCTTTCAGCTTGGGTACAATTCTTTCTTCTTGAGCCATACCCCATGAATGTGTCTCTGTCTTGTGTGCCTCACTAACAGCTTCTGCACAGCCCAATGTTGGATGGATCTAGTTGTTCAGTGCCTTATCACTGATGCAATCTTTTCCTCTTATGGAAAGTGGGAATGAAATTGCCTAAATTAAGCAATTGTAGAAGCCTTGAAGGATAAAGCTTCCTTTCTACTTTGGGCTGTTTTTATAGTAAGACTGCCATAGTTATGTTTTTCCTCCATGTTTACTGGCATAGGAAATAATGCATTACTGGGATTTTATGGTACTTGCAGCTTGATATTTTTCCCATGAACTATTCAAATAAATTGCTTTTGGATTTTTAGCACCTTCTTCCCACTTCTGTATCAAATTAGGACAGTCAGAACAGAGAGAAAATATTCTCTTGACCATGAAGTTAAATGAGTTTGATGACCTTAGAGGGCAGACTCTTGTCAGCACTGGTGCATCATCATCTCAGCAGGTCCAAGATCCAGCCCTTTGGATGGTCTGTTGTCCCTTTTGGTTAGGAGCACAGCTGTGAAGAAGGAAAACATGTGAGTCATGATCAGAGAGCTGCAAGAGCTGCAGTTTTCCCTTTCTCCAGCCAAGCCTGGCCCTCTTCTTGTCAAAATATTCAGAGTTTAATTCTGTGAGGACAGAAGCTTTCATATGCAGTGCTCCACCAGTTTCTCAGATGAAATATTCCATTCTTTCACTAAAGCTGCCATCTCTTGGCAGTAAACAACCTGACTTAAACTCTTCTATTGATATTTTATCATCCTTGTTTGTGACTTGCTATTAAAAGTGCTATAAATCATGGAGGTAGCAATGAAGGTATGGTTAGGATTTTACCTGGCTGTTTTTCTCTTGTTTGATCATCGTGTGAGCTTGAAGAAATTGTATGATCTCTCTGGACCTCCAAATATCTGCAAATTGGGGATGGTATCTAGAGAGTGGCACTGAGAGAGTGTTTACTGCACCACACTATCTATAACTTACCTCCCTGAAGTAATTCTTACGTTCAGGGGAAACTCTGAAAGGGTAAATTCTGACGTATGGGCTCTTAGCAGATCTGAAACTTCATTGCCTACCATTTAGATAAAATCTATTCAGTGCTGCTTTCAAGCAGCAGCCAGGGTAAAGCACTGATGAAATGAATTGTATGTTTCACTAGCTTTCGTTTTTGTGTTTTAAAGCATGTGGTAGTTGACATTTCAAGCATTACTGAAGTTTTAATCCTTTGTGTTTCCCATAATTTGTATAATGCCTGTATTGTCCTTGGTATGCATGCAAGCCTTCTATAAAGCTCCTCTCTTCAGAAGTTTCATGAACAAGTCAGAAATGTCTTGCTTGACAGGCAGGACTTGTGAATTTACTCTCTGACTCTTCACATAACAATAGTTTTTACATATCAGTGTCTTTTAAAGTAGCATACTTACCTTTCAGAGAATTAACATTCTTTCCTCGTTTCTTCCTAACATGAACACGACAGGATTTCAGCTGATCAAGGCTGCAAGTACATAACCTTGAGGAGTGGACAGTAAATCACTGTGGCTTTGTTTTTCCCTTCAGATAATCCTCACAATAATCCTGAAGCCCAGTTCCACAGCAGAGACACAGCACTTGAATTCCTGAAGTGTTTCAGTGGTGGTTTTTGTTACTCAGGTTTGTCGAGCAGCCTGGTTGCAATAGGGAGCTTTTCCACATTTTGAGGCAAAGGGACTGTTTCTCCCCAGATCATGACAAACTAGTCCTATTGTATAACTGCTGTTGCAGTCTTAATTAGCTGTGGGTTTATGCACTCTCATGTGAAAGAGAGTGTTGGCTGCAACTGTCTTGAAAGCCATTAGCAGTTTGGAAAGAACAAATTGTCTGTGATGTGATTTCTGTTGCACAACTGGTTAACCGGAGTTTGTAAGAGCAAACTAGCTCAGCCACTTCTCAGGTTTTTCTGTGCTGTGGTCTCATTTGTACAACAGAGTTTCCCCAGGCTACCATGCTGTTCTTGGGAAAAGCTACCATCTAGCAGCAGTAGCTGTGGACGATAACCAGATACTCTGGAGCTGTGGTTAAACATTCTTGAAATATTTAGAGAAAGCAGCATGATTTTGTCAGAAATGTTTGTGCTTAATTGGTACAAGCACAGTGCTTACTTTGTTCATGAAAAATCATCTTTATCATCAGTTCCTGAATAAAACAAAGAAAATAAAAGATTATTGGGGAGTGTTTACTCAGGGTTTAGAAATTCATCAAGCGCTTACAACATGCCACAATCAGCTGACTATGATTATCTTAAATTCTTAATTCTTATCTTGAATTAAAGAAGCAGAAGCTCCCAACTCTTGGTCCTGATATGGACCTTTGAAGTCTTCCCATGTACCATCTTACATTGCTCATAGGTATAAAGGCAAGGGATGAGCTTTCACATGTTAATGTCCGCCTCATCATAGTCTACCACAGACAAGGCTTCCTGCCATAAAACTCTTGCTTTATCATGTGCTCCATATTAACATTTGCATATTAACATTTGCCGGTTTTGGTTTAACTTATCAACTTAGATGGGGTGGTAGTTCATACTTGCAGTGTGATAGTTAACATTGCACTTCTAAATCTTAATGAATGCCCAAGATCTTCAGACATTCAGGTTTAATAAATAACTTAAAAATATTAGTTAGATGCACCTGAAACAGAAAAATGGATCAAAAAAGGATGGTAATTTTGTAAAGATTATTTATGGGTAAATCCTTTATGTCACTTTGTGTTTTCTCTAGATTTTCTCAACCAGACAACATATGAAGTTGAGGCATTCTTAGAAGCCATTCAATTCTTCCGGCAGGAGAAAGGCCACTATGGGATGTGGGAAATGATAACTGGTAATGAAAAAGAGGTAAAAGAATATCTTCCTGGTATTTTATTGGCTTTGGATATGTCAGCTTTGAGGATAATGAAGGTTGTAAAGCCTCTTGGGAAAAAATGGCATTTTGAAAAAGAAAATCTCGTAGGTAGAAATGCCCAAGATTTCATGATACTTCTTACTGATATGTAAAGTGATAATTCTTTTTTAATAAAATCCATTTTGAGTTTTTTGCTAGAAACTGAAAGAAAGTGTGCTATGAACTAAAATTCTTGCATTGTACTAGAATGTAGGGATGACTACATTTCCACAAAAAAGCTCATGCATCTACTTTAATTTTATGCCATGGGGTCAGTTGGTGAATAAATGCTGTGTCTAAAACAAAGCAGTTGCTAATATCTCTCTATCACATTTGGTGCTGTTTACAGTTTCAGTAAATTAGTGAAAGCAAAAGCAATACACACAAAACACAGTAGATACTCTCTGTCAGCTGCATCGGGCTTTGCTCTGGTTTTCTATCTTTCATGAGAGCTATTTTGCAGATAAGAGATTTTTTTTTTTCTTCTGTTGCTATTACCTTTGTTACTTAACACAATACTTTCCTGCTCCTTGTCCTGTAATGCCTCCAGATGTCATCATAGGAGATCAGGTTTCATGAAGAACAGAATAGCAGCTAAACAAAAATTTTGAAGAACCTCTTCATTTTGCTTTTCCCTGTACTTTGGGACTGAAGCTTTTAGTCCTGATTGGATAAACTGGTATACCTGCTTATTGTGCCAGACTTCTGAAACAAGAGTCTTGCATAGTAACAGTCATACTTAAACACCAGGAATCTGTGTACTTCAGTTCTTCAGAAATGAGGTCCTAGGTCTGGGTCCATATTTGGGCACCTGAGCGAGTAGCTTTGGAGCACTGGTGGTAGCTAAAGTAATTTCACTGATCTCTCTGGCATCACTCCAGATGTCTTTTAGTGCAATTGAGCCATTATTTGGGCCCTGATTTACAATTGTTTTCCTAAGCACTGAGCACTCAGCAGCAAATATTTACTTCAGTACCAGCTGCTGGGTGTTTTCCTTCATGAAATCTGTCTTCCCTTTGGGAAAATGGGAAAAAGCTTGATGCAGAGTTTATAATCTGGGGATTTGTTTTAAGAAATCAGATTATTCTTTTAGGAGAAGTCTACTTTTGAAATGCTGAAGAATGTGGAAACTGGGGAAGAAACTATAAACGTTGTCTTTCTCAATGCCATCATGTCAGGGATTGAGGTTTACTGCTAACATCTGATAATTCCTTAGTATAAGGAGTTCCATCTTTCCAATGGAGGGAGCGAGGGTTTTCCTCTTCTCCTCTCCTCCCTCAAGTTACGTAGCTGTTATAGTGCTAGTTCCATTTTATGTTTTATTTTTATTTTTGCTTGCCAACTACTTACTCATAGCCCATATACCTCAAGAGAACTGTAATCAGAAGACATCCAGACTAGATATGCTATTATCTTCTTAGTAATAATTCATTCTGCAACTATGGTTTGTTCTCACGCCTACTTTAACAAATATAATAATTATTTTAGGCAAATATCCAAGCTAAGTGAGTGGTTTGGAATGAGCAAGCTACAGTTTGTTGCTGTAAAAATCTCTGAAGAATGCCAATAAATATATTCCCTGACATTAATTTATAAAGACAGAGTCTCTACAGCACTAGCTCATGCAGTTCTACCTAGGTACTGCAACATGGATGTAATACTAGCAAGTACCCAGTCACCTGGCTGAAGACCTACTGATTTTTTTTTTTCTGTGTCATAAAAGTTATTTTTCATGGTTTTGTTTTTGTTCTTTTTCATTTTTAAGGTTTCACTATTAATAAAGGATAACTTCAGTGGTAGATGGTATTTCTGTAGGTTAAGTGCTGAAATACTGGGTTAAACCCATTAAAATATCAAAAACGCTTGTTGTAAGCAGCAGCAGAGAGCTTTTTTTGGTGAGAGCACTAAAACACCCTGATTTTGTACTAATATAACTTCATTGGTCAGCACTACATGAATGCAGAAGTAACGCACTGGTAAATCAAGAATAGCAGAATAAGGGATTAAAAAGCCCCAAAATTCTACAGTGCACCTTTCAGTACAGAAATATAAAGCCAATCCAGCATTCCTAAAAACGTGCTCAAATTCTTCAGAATATGTTTGATCCATTGTCACATTTATTATTTGTTCTGTGGCGCTCCAGTTTGGGTTATTCTTGAGATTATTTTTAACTGAACTATTAGTTTAGGACCTGAAATAGTCCGTTGGTTTTGACAGGTATTTGAGTCAGCACAGCTGAATCCAAAGTGGTAGTGTGGCATAATCTATAAGTACTTAAGTTGCATGAAACAATTTTAATAGGGTATGGCATGTTATAGATATATTAGATGTATAAGTAGGGTATTGTGTGTTACATTTCTGTAGGGGCTCTCTTGCATCCAGGAGGTACTCTATTTTACACTACATGGCATGCAGTCAAAGCCCTTTCTTACTTACTTTTGCTGTCTAAATTACTGCCATTTCCCTGTCGTGTTGTTGGTGCATGCCTAAAACCCGCTCAAGGAGCTGTAATATGTGAGGTTGAATGTCAGGAAGCATCGGCATGATGAAATGTAAAGTTGAGCAGTGCTTTTACATTTTGTATTGGCTTAGCCAGTAGCTGGGTGCCTCAGGGCTGTGGTCCTTGAATGAGGACTACGCTGGGCTGTTGCTGAAGCAAGGACAAGAGCTGGGTTCAAATACACATCACTTAGCAAAACCTCTGTTCAAGCCCCACTGGAGAAAAAGGAAGACTATGTCGTTTGTCTGTGACACTTTACTGAAACCATTGAGCAAGGTAGTAATCCTTTAAATCCTTTACCCAGAGTAAATGAGAAATATACCAAAATTTAAGATGCGTTTTGTGCTCCTTTTTTAGGGTTACTATGTCTCTCTGTGATTTTCAGGATAGCCACTGCACTTCAAAGCTTTCAAGAGTCTGTGGGCAACTTCATATCTGTGCACAGTTGGGACAGACAAAAAGCCTTGATGAAAGGGCTATGTGCTGTTCTGCATAGCACATAAACCATAGTATTGCCTCTGTCATCACAAATTGGCAGCTGTACATCTGTAACTGTGGGCCACTACAAACATACCTGGGCAAGATCTATGAACAGAAAATGAGCATGTCCAGAAATAAAAGATGTCCCTTTCTCCCCTGGATTATGAGGATGAGTAATGACTGAACCAAATACAAGACTGAGGTCTTTAGTTCAAAACTGAGATGCTTTAAGCAGAGAAATTCAAGAATCCAGCATATATCCTCAGATGCTTCAACAGGAAACGTTCAGAGACCTGAGGTCGCAAAGAAATAGCAATAGGACAGGTCCTGTGATGAACTCCTTACCTCTGCTTGCATAGTTTGTCTTATTGGCCAACTTGCTGCTGAAAGTAGGAGAGAGGTCTCACAGCTTTCTCAGGCCAGAGGACATACAGTGTCCATAAATAAAAAATGGAGAGGAAAGCCTAGACTCCCCAAGTCAGATCTCTGCCTGTAACTCTGCATTTATTGCCAGTTTGGTGCATCTGAGTGGGATGGGCAAGGAAGACGTTGTCATTCAAATCTATGCAGACAAGGTTCAAAGCCTGATACAGTGTGTAATTCTGAAGAAAACTTCTGAAATGGGTACCAGTGAATGAAACCAGGCATCCATCTCACACCATTAAATTCTTTCTGTATTGAAGAAAGAATTTGATCCTTCTCCTGTACAAAGTTGGGTGACGCTATCAAGAGAAACACAGAACCATAGAACAGTTTAGTTAAAAGGGGATCTCTGGAGGTTATCTGGACCAATCCCACACTTAAAGCAGAGCCAACTTTAGGGGCTTTGTGTAGTTTAGTTCTGAAGACATCCAAAGCTGGAGGGGGCATGACTTGTTCACATGATTGCCCTCATGCTGAAAGATATTTCTTAATACCTGACTATTATTTCCCTTGTTACTACTTGTAACTGTTACCTTCTTCCTTTCCCTGGCCATTTCCAAGAAAAGTCTGGTTGTGCCTCCCTAACATCCTCCATATTGAAGTTGTGGACAGTAGTAAGGTCTCTCCTGAGCCTTATCTTCTTAAGGCTGAGCAAACCCAGCTCCCTTTGCCTCTCCTTACATGTCATGTTCTCCAGCCCCTGATCATCCTGGTGGGTTCTGCTGGATCCACTCCAGTGTGTCAAGTTCTGTTTTTTACTGGGGAGCCCCAAACTGGACACCACTCCAGATGTGGTCTGACAAGTGCTGAATAGAGAGGAATGTTCTCCCTCAACCTGCTGTTGCCTTTTGCTGCAAGGCTACCCTGCAGACCAATGATGAATATCTTTTCCACCAGGATGCCCAAGTAATTTTCTGCAAAATTGCTTTCCAGCCAGTTGTCACCAGCCTAAACTGATGTTCAGGGTTCTTCCATCCCAGATGCTTTCGCTAAACTTCATGAGGTTTCTGTCCACCCATTTCTTCAGCCTATTTAGGTCCCTTTGAATAACAGCCTTGCTTGCCAGTGTATTGACCACTCCCTCAAATTGGTATCATCTCTATTCCCAGTCTGATGCATTTTCTTTCTAATCGGAACCATCTGCAAGACTGAATTGGTAGTTAGATGCTGGGCTGAGAAAAGGTGATGCTTCTTTTCTACAACCACTGAAACCTGTTTCAAAGTGAAAATGTTCTTGAGGGAGAAAAGTACTAAGTGTCAATTGAGAAAAATAAAGCAATGATAGGCCAACTATACTTACAGAAATGATAAAAAAATTGGGCAATGACACTTTTTCCTCAGTTTCTTTACATTCCATCATGAACACTCCATGTGTAGAAGTCCCTCTGACACTTCTCTTTCCCTTTCTGCTGTGATGCACCTTTGTCACAGAGTATCTTCTTAGGTTTTCATTCAAGAATCTGGAGGTGTTGAGAGGAAACTTTAATGTGTATGAATCCTATGATGTGAAAGTTTTATTGGTTTTAAACTACTAGAGTTACCTTTTAGTGACAAAAGAAAGTGCTTGAAAATTTTTTCTTGAACTCCAACAGCTAGTTGTTTATTTTCTCTCTTTTCTCTATCAGGATTAGGCTGGGGGGTAATAAGTCTTCTGGATCATGTTATAGATTTAAAAAATCAGAGTAGAATTATTTGATTCACAGGTTCCCCACAATTCTGTTTCCCATTTCTGTCCTATATCCTGTTTTTCATAGGATCTTGTTCTTTTCTTGTTTGAACTGTGAAGTTGGTGCTCACCTAAAAAAATGCTGGAGATTCCCATTGGGACAGTCATATCTTTCTTTTCTTGCACAATTATCTTCCTATCAGAGCATCCTTTGGTTTATGACTTGTTAGAACAATTTATCTTCGATGATACCTCCTCTGGGAGGGTGTGAGTGTCCCAGAACAAGGTCAGTGTGGGGAAGCAGCAAACCAACTTTTTTAATCCAGTTGCTCAATTGATATCAATCATTTTATCTCCACTGATTTGCACATGGCAATTTCATAATAGCATGCAGTAAATTTTAATAGGCATCTTATTTCATCTGTGGTCAGTTTTTGCATGGTCTCTCAAAGTCTTTGAGTGAGAAATGCTTCAGATAAAATTCCTGGATTTTCCCTCAGGCATACTAATATTTTTAAATCCAGTGTTCCTGGCAACCTGGGATAGTCATTGTATTTATTTGAGGTTGCCTGTGTTTGCACATCACAATGTGATGTGAGTGCTCAGTTTTCAGATGGAGAACAGTATATGAATGTGTAATTTTAATCATCTGACGATATAGATCCTGAGCAACCTTGTGATGGAGGAACTCCTGCCTAACCTTCAAACAATGATCCTGCCTAAAATGAAAGGAAAGAGAAATGATAGGAAGCGGACCTGGTTTGGTGTAAGTACTGGTATTTACAGAGTTTTTTCTCTTAAAACCTTGTTGTCTGTGTGTGCTGATCCTAACGTATGCTTCTTAATTTAATTTGGGTTTAGATCGTAGAAGAAACTTACAGCTTAGTTCAGCAGCAAGTGTCAGAAGGATTAAGTACCTTGAAAGAAGAATGCAGAGATTTTGCAAAAACTCTTGAAGGAACGATTCGTTCAGACATTGATCAGATTCTGAACTCCAAGAACTTCTTAGCTGGAAAAATCAAAGGTTAGTGGAGGAACAGCTGTGTTTTGCAGCAATTTTTTAATGTTTCCCATTGTGTTGCTCAGATTACCAGATGTCATTGTTCTGAAATTCTCATGTGTTTTGAAAAATCCAACTGGAGACACTGATTTTCAGAAAACAAATGCTTTGAACCTCTGCTGCCTTTGATGGGAACTGATACCTGTGGCCACTGTGCCTTTGAAAATACTAGGTCTTCTCAAATGGAGGTAGACCTGATGGGTTTTGAGTATTATGATTAGAATTGCTTGTTCTGCTTTCATTTTTATTTGGACAGCCTTATGCAATGAAGATAAGAGGTCACATGAGCATAATTAGAAGTGTAGTGGTTTTGACCTGATGCCTTGGAATGTGCCACAAAACCAGGTTCTGGTTATGTGACAAATTCATAAGCTATGAAAGAGAACTTAAGCCAAAGGGCTTCTTAGATAGTTTTAAACTAATGTGAAGTAATTTATAATTTTGTTATGAATATAAAAATGAGTGTAAAAAGCAGGCAAAACATTAGTTGATGTTGCTTAAGCTAGCAAATAAATAACTGATAATTTAGGAGCTGTTTTGATAAAACTCAGGATGTTCTGTTGATATCCTCACATACCAGATTAGGATGCTTTCAGTGAACTAGAGTACCAAGTTTGGATGCTTCCTTATAGAGTCTCTGTGGCCATGTTCTGTCTGAATCTCCCAGTATGTATCAATGCTAAGAGCTGCCCTTTCCTGTGCTCTCACAATGCCCCTAAGCTGCTAGCATTTGATTAGGCAGGACATGGGAAGGGTGTTTTATTTAAAACTATAAACTCTCCTTTCATCATCTTCATCTTTGTGGAGGTGTGACTCTGGGGAAAAGCAAGGAGCCATTCAATTCATTGTAAAGTAAATTATTTCAGATTACTTTTTCACTATATCTCTTAGTAGCCTAAATGCAACTGTTGTATTGTCTGACACTGTAGCCACTGTTTCTGAGCCTGCTCAGAAGTGCTGCACCGAAAATATCCAGCCATTTCTCACTTCCATATTAGAGGAGCTCATGGGTCCAGTGAGTTCTGGATTCACTGAAGTCCGTTCACTTTTTGATAAAGAAGTTAATGAAATCATCCAGGACTTCCAGAAGACAAATGATATCACAAAGCTAAAGGAGGTAAGGCAAAAAAATCTATTTGGAGCCTTTTATATTAGCACAAGGGCCTTCTAGCTATAATTTGACTGACAGCAGTGTTTGCTTTCCCAGGTGGTAGTATGTTAGCTCTTGGGTTTTTTGTTTAGGAAGTGGTATTTGTGCAACTGTAGTGCAGATACCAGAATTTGGTTTAGGGCCACTGTTAAATTCTCTATTAAAAATTCACCTCTGGTGTCTTTCTCTTGAAACCTGTTCTTCCTCCACTGGAATGCAGAACATGGATCAGCTTACGAACCTGCCACTCAACTCTGTGAAAATGGAGCCCTGCTATCTGAAAGTGAATCTCCTCCAGGAGCTCCTTCAAGACCTCAAGAGTCGCTTCAAGGTCTATCACATTGATTTTGTGATTCAGAGGACACAGAACTTTATGCAAGAGGTACTGTAACATCCAGTTTTTCCTCCTGGGAGAACAGGTTAGGTTTGCTCTTCTAACGTGCTTCAAAGCAACCTTGATAAAAAGCTGTGCAAGAGTCCCAGAATATCTCTCGATCAAAGTACAGATAACAAAACCTAAGAAAATCACAGCTAGAAGATGTCTGACATTTACGTTTGTGAGGATGCATGTGTCTTTCAGCAAGGCACAAAAGTTTTGGATGGATCATCTCTTCTGATCTTTTGTGTTCTGAATTCTCAGTACCCAAGAAAGTTGTGCTTGTATCCAGTGGAGTACTAAGTTCTACCTGATTTCCATTCTCAAGGATTCAGGAAGGGTCTTAAATATATTTTACCAAAATGGAATGTCTCTCTTCCTTGGTAGTCTATTTTCTCATTAATATAAAGTCAGGCAATTAATATTAGAAACTGGCAATTACTTGGACACAGATGATGTCTCAGGATGTAGCTACATTTAGGTGCTTTAAACAAACTTCACTTCTCATTGGAATGGTTGAAGTGTCTACATCATTTCAGATAGAAAATTAACTCCTCTTTTCACCATCTAGTGTGTACAGGCTATAATTTTGCTTTGCATTTGTTTCTTCCAGATGCCTGGCCAGAAATCTATTAAGAGCTGGCTATTAGAGTTACTTTGATTGCCAGATCACAAGACAGATTTGGCCTTCTACCTCTAGGTTGAATCTTGTGATTTTAATATGCAGTTGAGAAACTAAATAATCTAGTTGGTAATCTTATGAAATGGAGCTGGTCCAGTTCTATGGAATGGGAGTTGTGAATATGGAAAGGAAGTCTCTGGCACAGTGCTGGGAGATCTTTTAAGCAGATCATTTAAGTACAGCCATGATCAGCAGCCAAAGAATTATTTAGAAATAAAGTTCTGATTTCATCTCTGGGTCTTTCAGGGAGACCATTCCAAAATGCTGCCGAATAAAATGTCTTTCAGTAAGTGAAGGTTATGAGTCAAGATATAGAAGTAGACAAAAAATACAGTCCATGTGGTGCTTTTTTTCTGAACAGAACATGAATGAAAAATCACAATAAATAAATTAAAGAACAAGTTGTTCTAAAAATGCGGTTAATGCTCCTCTCCTTAAAAACCTTGTATCTAAAAATACTGTTAATGCTTCTCTTTTTAGAAGGCTGGTATTTTTCTCAGAAAAATAGCGAGTAGTTTCACTTTGTAGTCACGGACATTTATTTTATTAACGAGTAAGGTCAGACATGTCTATGCTCGCGTAGCCTTAATGTCAAAGCATTTGGCACGGGTGGAGTCGGGAGCAGAATTTCTTGGCTTGGGAGCTTGGCATCCTCTAGCGGCCAGTTCTCAGAAATTTCGGAGCACAGTGCTCAACTGGCGTAAATAAAGCGGCTTTAGTGACTTCACCAGAATTACACCAATTTATCACTTGCTTCAAATAAAAATTGAGACAAGAAATGAGTAGTTAATCTTTTAATTAGCCTCAGACTTAACTCTACGCTGATCCTGTATTTTTCTTGAATCCAAGGTTTTGCAGTGCATGAGCATTTATTGCACAGCCTTCTCATGCACACACATATTAAATAAATCTCCACATTCTGCATTATACAGCCTGTATAGTCCAATCCTACATTATCTGAAAACTCAGTTATAAAAACTGGTCTTCAACATTTGTCACTGTGTGCTTTCATTCACGAAGATTTACTAGCCAAGGAGGAATTAAAAGCATGTCTTATCCCTAAGTATGTACATATTAATTTACAGACTACAAGAAGTCTTATATTATATATGGCTACATATATTGACTGAGGTAGCCCCATGTGATGCAAAGGAATAGCTGGCTCTATGGACAGCCTCCCTGTGGATATCCCTGTACTTCTTTAATCAGAATATATTAAAATTTAAATGAAAACACTTAGCTAAAAAAGGCAAAACCTAATTAAGTAGAAGTAATTAACACTTGCAGAACTGTTTTTCTGAAATACCTTTACAGAATAGTGGATTAATGTTTTTAATGAATCTCTGCGCAACCTGAAAATACGAGAAATGCCAGCCTACCTAACATAATTCCATGAGAAATGACTTCACTCTGCAATTTTTGCTGATAGTGATTTGTTTCATAAGTAAAGCTACTAATTATTTACCTTTTAAAAAAAACAATTCTTCAGTATTTATGGTTAAGACCATTAGAATCTGATAGGAGTCAGTGGGAGTCATCTCATTAGGGATAATGAGTTTTGTCAATGGCCTTCATATATATAGGTGATTGATTCTACTTTTTTGTCTTTGTGACTGTCAGTTTGGATGGTGACATGAGATTACATCTACAGGAAAGCTATGATAGCTTAATAATGATACCAAGGCTATATTTTCTTTATTGCAAGATTTCTGTGTATGTTTTTTCTTCCCCTTCCACAATAATTTAAAGTAATTGAAATTTTTATTTTAAGCCTGTTATTTTTTCTCTGTTTTGCCTTCTTAAAAGTACAATTTTATGTTACTGGTCTTTAACAGTTGTTGTGGGTTTTTTATTTATTATTGTTTATAGCTGATGGAAAATGCAGTTTATACTTTTGAGCAGTTGTTCTCTCCAAGTCGCCAGGCAGACTCAGCGAAAGTTGCAACCACCATTGAAAAAGTCAAGCTGAGAGTACTGAAGGTAAATGCCTTTTCGAAACTGAGAATGTATTTTATATTAATTTATGTCAGTATTTGAAAGAGGGTATCTCTTACCATCCAGCTGGAAATACTGATTTGGTGGCATTTAGCATTTGAGGGTAAAACCTAGTTCTGGACATACACTTGTGAAAGTATTTACATGTGCAATGCCTTTCATTGCAATTAAATCGGATGGACAAGATACTGTGAATCTGGGTAAATAATTTTAATTAGCTTTATAGTTAGCCTGCCCCTAGAATTTGCTGTTCTCAGAAGAGGCAGTGATGAAATACCTGGAGAGAAGAACTGGGGGGCTGTTTCTAGAAGAGAAAGAGATCCAAGAAAACTAGATTTTAGAGTACTTTTTAAAAGCTGGAATAACCTGCATAGGAATTCAAAGCCCTGAGTGCACCCATGATATGGTGTCCTTTGGAATTCACCCATTACCAGTTACAGGATAACAAGAACCAGCTCCTCTTATGAGTGATTAATAACCTCAGATATGTTTGGGCTTGTTTCTCTTTTTGTCTGTTTTGACAGCAATATGATTATGATAGCAGCACTATCCGGAAGAAGATATTTCAAGAAGCACTGGTACAGATTACTTTGCCCACAATGCAGAAGACACTGGCTTCAATGTGCAAACCAGTAGGTTTCTGTGAATATAAAAAACAATCATAAAAGGCAGAGAAGGATTAACACCTTGGCAGTAAATCCTCAGTTCTATAAGGCTGTTTTCTCTTGGACAGTTGTGCAGATTGGCTGCCAGCTGGGACAGACACTTAGATTTGCCAGTTCATGGACTGGATACATACGGAACATAAGGAAGATTTCGGGAAACAGGGAAGCTGTACATACGGCTTGCTTTCTCAAAGATAGTTGCAGATCTTTGCCTATCCCTATTTCATTTCTTCCCTAGAGGTTTGAAGTCCCCTCAAACTGGACTCCTCTTGAGAGTTATGATTGTGGTTTGTGAACTTGTCCTTGTGTTCAGCAGCCCTGCTGCAGGCAAAAATGCAGTCTGTGGGAGAGGGCACTTTCCTTTTCAGCAGCGCTCTCAGAGGCACACCTGTGACCATACAGAGCCTCTGCTGTCAACCTGCTTCAAAGCCAAATGCCTGCTTGGGCAGCAGGAGCAGACAGGCCTTGCACTTGCTGTCAGTGATTTTAAATGGAAGTAATTGTGTCAAGAATCAGGAAACAAACAGAGATGATCTCTGTTTTCCTTAATCATATGGGTAGGTTAGTACTCAGCAAATGTGGCTACCAGAGTTTCATGGAGATGTTATCAGTATGGCTGCATCAGAAACGTGCTGGAATGCTGTTCACCTTGACTCAAAACAAATAGTCTGTGCCTTTCTTGAAGCCCATGCGTATCCTCTTGCATTTCCACTGTACCTGCTGAAAAATGACTGCCCTAAGCCATCCCAGCCTCTCTGTACTTTTGTTTCCCTTGATGTTCATCAGTTCCCACAGGCTGTGCTGCTCTTGGTGTTGCAGTTTTAAAACCAAGTATTTTCCCAAGTTATGCTTGTGAGACTTTAAGTATGGATTATTAAAACTTACAACTTTCAAAAATGTGTTTAAAATCACTCTCTTCTCTATGTCACTCTACTTTCTTTACTATCCCCAAAATAATAGTCTCTTGTAGAGTGCCAGCAGTGCCTTCACACAAGGGCAAGCATTTCATCACCTTGAATATATGTAGAGAGGGTGGAGTCTCACATCACGTCTCTGTCATACAGGATGAAGGAAGCAGTGGTGATACAAACTTCCCACAAGCCCTTTCTATTTCATTTATGACAATTGTGTTTATGCCTCTGCAGAAACAAGCAGCCAGCTCTAGAAGTAAATATGTGGAACAGTTGACATGGCCAGTAAGGTCTTGTCGTCTTACTTGAAAACCTCCAGACGTTTTCATGTAAGCACCTTTTCTAGAAGCAGGCAGAGGTTACATATAGACAATCAACAGCTGTTCAGTGATAATGACTCAGTTATTGTCTAGACAGGCTATTGCATATAAATCAGTAAGCTAAAATGTTACACACCTATTAGAAAAACAAAGTCAAACCGTGTATCTCCCATGCTCACTGTGGATTTGCCTCCTTGGGCAAACAGTGAGGCATTTCCTCACTAGCTATTTATTTCAGAATTGTTTATTATAGTGCAGATGGTGGCAATCTATACTGCTTTTAAATGTAAGTATTGTGCAAGAATACTGCTTGATAAATGCATAATAAATTGTGAACATACATAGTTCATTTAGTCATAGTTTGAATAGATCATCTCAAGAGCCATCAAGGATCATTGCAAGACCTGCTAGAAAGCATCTCCAAGGTGCTATGTTGAAGCAGAACTTCCAGAATCTCTCATTTTATATATCTGTTCCTTTCTTCTCTGTCTGCACAGGAGTTGCAGAAATACGAGCAGTTCATTTTTGCTGATTACACTAGTGTGATTCAAGTAGAAAATGTGTATGAAGAGATTTTATATCAGACACTGCTTGAAGAAACCCTGAAAGGTGAGAACTTTATTGAGGTGACAGTAACAACATTTCAATGTGAGCTCTTGCCTCAGAGCTTCCCAGAGTCCAAACCTGGCTATTTCAGTCCCAGATCCCACTTTCCTGAAGACCGTTGGTTATGATGCTACAGTGTTTTTATTTAGCGTGCTAAAAATATATGGCAAGCCCTAAAATCTGAATTATGTGGCAACTTCACTAAACCTGGGAAATTCAAAGTGATAGCTTGGCACAAGCCTATTTCTAACAAAATGTAATTATACCAACTTCATTTCATCTTGATTTCCTGGGCCAAGGAGTGAAATTATGATCTTGTTTGCAAAGACTTGGTGATATCTAATGGCAGCAAAAATTAATTTCCTCAAATGAAATGTACTGCAGGATGCAGTTTCCAACACATCAGTGATGCCACTGCAGTGTTCCCTGCAGATCTCTCTGCTTTTGTGGCAGAAAACTAAATTATTTTTGATGGCATGTATAGGTACATAAAATACTTGCATCTCTCTGGATCTGCCTGTCTGTCTATATCCTAGATAAAAGGCAAGCATGTGTATTGCACAGCAAATTTTAATAGACCTTCTTTGGCACTACTGTTTAAAAATATGAGTGTAATAATAAAAGTAAAGAACACACTTCTATTCATATATTCTTGTAATATGCATTGAAACATTATCTTTGTGCACTGTGGGTTCCTCTGGTAGTTTTCTATTACAGCAATGCTTAGGTCAATATTGAAGTTCTATTATTCAAAACAGATAAAATCCCTGCCCTACCCCACCCCAAAAGAAATGTAAACTAAAAGCAAGTTGAAAATGAAAACTACTACTACATATCAAAATGTACAAAATTAGAAACTTGGGAAAACACTGTACCTTCTTCAACGTACCTCTGTCAGTCTTTCCAAAACAGTTTGGTCTTTCTGTTTTATCTAGTGATAAAAGAAGCTGCCATTATGAAGAAGCACAACCTCTTTGAAGATAACTTGAATTTGCCCTGTGAAAGCGTGTCCAGCTTAACAGACCTGAAGACCCCTTCAGGATCAGCACAAACCACTCCTGCGAAGAAGCCTTCCACCGCTCGAGCTGAGATGTCAGACACTGAAACTCACAGTGATGAAATGCTCATTGTGACAGGAAAAATTTCTTGGGAGAAGGATCATGATGATAGAAAGTCATCAGACAAAGAGGCAGTCACTTCTGTTAAAACAGCTAGTGATCAGGCAAGCAAAAGTGAAGAAGTGTTCCATATAGACATTGGCCAAGACGAGGAGTCCCTTTCAGCTACACTTACAAAACAAGAAGTTGTAGAGAAAAAAAGCACTTTGGAGAATGAAGACACAGTGAAAGCAGAGTGTGTAGTAAACACTGAAAAAGAGCTTAAGACACAACCAGAAGCTGTGGAGGAAAAAGTAGCTTCTGGGACTGAAACCGAAGTAAAAGGTCTTGGAGCCAGCCCTAAAAAAGAACTTAAGGTACATGAAGGAGCAGTAGAAGAAAAGGTAACTTCTGAGAGTCAAATGGCAATGGATGCTGTGTTTGTTGGTGGCACAGAAAAAGAAAGCAAAGCATACAAAAAAGTTTCTGTGATAAAGATGACTTCCCCACAGGATAACGTAGCAGAAGCAGATATTTTAGGGGATGCTGAAGAGAAAATCAAGGTAGAAAGAGAAATTACAAAAAAACTAACTCAAAGTGAAAATGCAGTAGGAATGGGATTTGAAGAGGATAGTAAAAAAGAAAGCAACGGCCAAGGAGCTAGTACTGAGACAAGGGTTATTTCGCAGGATGAAAATGCAGGGAAAGGAGGGCCTTGGGATAATCCTGAAAAAGAAGGAAAGTCAGAAGAAAAGAGTTTTAAATCCCCCGATGATGTGAACGAGATAAGGAGTTTGCTTATGGTTACAGTTGAGATACCAGCAGATACTCCAACTGAGAACATAAAGGAGATTTGCAAAAGTGAGATATTAAAGTTGCAGGAGCACAATAAAGGGAATAATGAGTTGAGCAAAATGGCTGCAGAAGAAATTCAAGTGAGCCAGATGATGATGAATAAAGATGCAGCAGAATGTGCAGAGTTCAAGGAGGACCAACCACCTTCATCTAGTTTGGGGACAGATGGTACGAATTTAAAAGATGTGTCCAAGGGGGCCTGCAATATAGCACAAGCAGAATGGCTGGTGGAAAGCTCAGATATGCCTCAGGAGACAAAAGCAGAGGTGGAGATCAGACAAAGTGTTTGGTACACAGGTGTGGGAAGCTGCAAAAGTGATAGATTGCAGCCAGAGGAACACACTGAAAATGTGTCCAAAGACAAAAGATTAGATGGGGAGGAGGGAGGAGTAGGGAATAGCCATGCCACTGTGGTGGAGACTGAAAGCTTTTTTCATAATCCTGCTGAAAATGCAGATACAACACAAGTGCCCATTTTGGATACAGAAAACCCTAGAACAGGACTACTAGATACGCCAGTTTCTTGGGTGCTGGAGCAGGGCGAAGTTAGTGCCATAGAGGTCATAGAAGATACAGAGGCTGGTGAGGGTGAAGGGAAGCCAGGACATGAATCATCTTCACACATGGAACTAAAAAGCAGAGAAGTAGAAGATATTTTCACAGAAGAAAACAGAGAAGATAGTTACACACAACAAAACTCTGAGGAGTAAGAAGTGTTTTTCAATGCATCCCTGCAGGATTTATTTACTCCAGTAATCTTTGTTTAATTGTGACTACTTTGGGTCAGAGCTAGAGGAAATGGGCTTTGTTGTGGTTTTATCAGCTCTTGCAGTTTTAGCACAGAACCCTTCCTGTGTGATGGGTGATAGGTTTCTTTCCAGTTAAAGCCCTCACTGTTTAAAACCAGGTTGCTGTTGGGAACCTCATCTTTCATTCAAAATTTGCTACCTTTTGTGGTTATAGAAAAAAGTCTGAAAATATGACCACTGGATGGTTCAAAAGCAACTCCCCCCCAATTATAAAGTTATTTTAACAACTTAACTGTTCTTAGTTTTTTAGCAAGGGAGTGGCTCATGGTTTTTAAGTACATGGATTTTACAAGTACTGCTGTGATTCTTAGGTGGTTGGTACATACATTGCTATTCACGGATGCTTTTAGTATTTGCATGTAGAATACGGGAAATAAATAAACCCTTTAGTAGTTAAACAGAACCAAATAATTAATTTAGAAAGTTGCTCAAAAGCCACACTCTATGCAAACTGATTACTTTAATATCCACCACAACTTTAAAATAATTAAGACAAGCAAGTGTTCAGACTTTTTTTTTTTGTTTTTTTTAATTGCTGTATTTAAAATGGGGAAAATATGGGAGCAGGTTTCTCAGTCCCGCTGTGTACTTCTAGGTTATTTAGCCTTCCAGAGCACTTTATGGCTACTTTATTTTGTTTAATTTTATGGAAGGGAAGATGAGAATGTTTACAACAACTAGAACTATTACACAGCATCTTTCTGTTTTACCTCCCACCATAAAATATATTCATTTACGGCTGTCTAATACAGAATATTCATAATTCTGCCATTACCATTTTTACTGAGTTACCCAGTTCTGTAAGTCTTTTGAGGTGCAAAGATTATATAATAAATGACAAAAATTGTGAAATATCATAATAATTGCATAGAATTTCTAACACAGATGTTAAGCAAAGAGCAGCCAAAGGTTATTCACATGTGCTTAGACTTTGGGGGGCAGAATCACATTTCAAAAGCAGTTATTGAAAAGAGACCTATTGCTATCATAGGTGGCATATTATCATCCATATCAAATCTATGCACAGAGTTGCTTATATGCATTATCTGCATATTTACAGCACATAAAAGCTTGGAAATGAAAACCAGTATTTTAGTAAAATGGGCTTTAGATTTCAAGGCCTCACTTCAGAGATCAGTTTAAAACACCTTAAAATTTTTGCCTGGTATTTCAGACTGTTTCTGAATAAATATAATACAGTACAGGACAGCAAAGATTAATAATAAATGAGTAATGATAAATGCAGGATTTACACCCATAAAGACATGGGAAAAAATATTAAATTCTTGAGAGCATAATACTTGTTGGCATTTAACTTCAACAAACTGTGCAAAGTCTATTATTTAATGCTATCAAAATACGCTACAATACTAACATTGAATTGACACTAGAGGAACAGGCAAATATTACGGCACAAGAAAGGAACATTGTTGAGTAACTGGATCAACTGCAGTGCCACCATTGTAAAATAAATGCAACTGCTGTTTGTTCTAGAAGTCATACTGAGGTATAGAAACATTAAGGTCACGGAAGTTTTCCTTGCAAAAGTACTTTGACTCATTTCCTCCTTGTATTCCATGCAAAAATACTAATTTGTAAACACACAAACCACTGTCAGCCATTTTTTAACAAATCATTCATTATCTCACTGTAAGCCGCTTTGTTTTTACAAACCATTAGCTATTTCTAATTAGTACTGGATGTTAAGTGACTTCAAATTTATAATGTGTTTTAGAGTTAAGCAGCAGCAGTCTCTCTTAGCCGTGATAAATTAGGCACCATGACTGTTTTTCATACGATGTTGTATGAAGGAGGACTAGCAAGACAGTGACTCCGCAAAAAAGGCTGCAGTCTCCAAGAGCTGTTTAGAACTAATACAAATCAAGATACATCTATACAGAAAGTATTTAGCAAAAGCATTCCCATCATAGTAATTTTTCAGTTATTTCTACGGCAGATTTAGACCTGGGTAATATTTTCCTGTAATATTGAAGGATTAAGTTGCTGAATACAGGTTCTCAGCATTTTCTTAAGTAGGGTGGGAAAGAAGAGGGAAGATTCAGCCTGTACATTACCTTGTTCTGCAATTTAAATTGAAGTTCCTCATGGCTAGGGGACGGAACCTTTGACTTTGTGGACATTTTCTGTACATTTGAATGTTTGCAAATGGATAGAGTCTTGTCTTTACATAGACTCGGGTGGAGGTGACAGCGATTTAGAAGTTAGCAATCCACAAGGTTATGTCGGACCACTGATCAAAAAGTACAATAATCCACCCATTCAGTGATTTTTGTCAAGTTCTTGGAATTTCCTACACCTACTCATAATGAATTATTGTGCTTGTAAACTAGGAACAATAATAAATCACCTTTCACCGCCTGGAAGTTTGAGGGTTAGGAACACTGGGGTGCCTTGAAGGGAGTGGCTGGGGGAGTGTTACTGCTGTTTTATGGGTTTTAAATGACAGGATATGAAACACGTTGTATCTTGCTTAGATCCGTGTAAGAACGCTTATCATGAAAATAAACGAAGCTCTTCCCTTCCATCGCTGGGAGGTTGGTTTTTGTGTGTGGCAACTTCACTAGAGGGCGGGTGTACCAAAGGCACGCGGGCGGCTGCCGGGGGCCGAGTGAAGGAGGCCGGTTACGCCGCGCTCCCCGCGCCCCGGCTGAGCCCTCGGCTCCCGACTGGACCGGGCGCTCCTCTTCTCCCCAGTTCTCCCCTCCGCCCGCGCCGCGCCGCGCGCAGTCCCACTCGCGACCGCCCCGGTGCATGCCGGGAATTGCAGTCCGACACCGCACCCGCTTTTCCCGCCCCTCCATTTGTCTACGTCGCACTCTCTCCCGGCACGTCGCTGCCGTCACGTGGCCCGCGTGCCCTCCCGCGTCGCGGTGTTCCTGTTCCCGTTCCTGTTGGCGCGGCGGGGCGGTGCGTGCGGGGGACCCGGAAGTGGCAGAGTGAGGCGGTTTCCTTGGTTTCCACAGGAAAGTGGAGGGCCGGTCCCTTCCGCCTGCGCGTCGGCTCTGGGAGCTGTGGCTGCCGTGCCGCGAGGGGCGGGCAGCGGGCGAGATGGGCCGGAGCTAGGCCTAGCAGCACCGGGCAGGCGGCCGCGGCCATGAGCGGAGGTGCAGGCTGCCAGGGGGGCGGCGGCGGAGGAGACGACGATCGGGGGCCCCGCTGGAGGAGGCCGTGGAAGCTCCTGGCTCTTGGCCTGCTCTCTGCCTCCTCCGTTCTGGCGGCCGCCCCGGGCGCCGGGGCCATGAGCAAGGAGGAGAAGCGCCGGTTGGGGTGAGCGCCTCCTCGGCGGGCCGGGCTGGGAGCAGGGGTTGAGGAACGACGGTGGCGCCGGCTCGTCCTCGAGGCTGCCAGATAGGCGGGGGCAAAGGCCAGCGGGGCCAGGAGCTGTCGCCGTGTTGCGGTAGGGGTTCTACTCTGTCTCCGCTGGTTGGGCTCGATGGGTGCGGCTGTATCCTTCTTCAGGTAGTGCTTCTCTGGTCCTTTCTTTACCCGCACTGAGGACTCTACTAGACGAGGGGTTTCTGTCTCCCGTCGGTGTCTGAGGTGTGTCAGAGCCGGGCTAGTCTTTAGGGTCAGGTCATCACGGCCCGTTATCGCCTCTGCTGTGTGTGGGGTCAGACTCTTCTGCCGTAGGCTTGAGAGCTGCCGTCTTGAAGACTGTAGCTAGTGTTTGCGTGTAATGATGGGTAAAAGTGATCAAAGGTAAATCTAAATCTGTTGTCAGTTGGTCTAATTATGGCTATGCCTCTGTAGCAAGTGAATGTTTGGGAGTCATAAAGAAGGTAAATGTTTACATGTGTTCTTGCCTAGTTGCTATATAAGATTGACTATAAGATAGACTACTTTGGTCCTGTGTGTTTGTACAGATTCTTTTTTAGTACAGTTTTTAGTTGAAGGACAAAGACGACAATATAGGTGGCAATGCATTGCACTGCATGGAGTAGGGCTTTTTTAGACAAATATGTGATCAAGCATATCACCATCTTAGAGTATTAGTGGGGCAGTTTCATCATCCTCCTCCTCCCATCTACTGATCAGTTGCATGGAATAGTGGTGCAAAAAGTCTGCTGGAGAAGCACTCTGGATACTTTCATGGTTGTTAATCACTAGTTATAAGTTGATATTTAACTTTGATAATGTTTACAGTTACTGAGCTTTTCCATCTTGGATTCTCAGGGTACTTTGTGTGTACAAAGTTTTGTATGTTTGAATTTCATTCACCAGTTGGTTTTAAATTTTTTGTGTTCATAACTTGCAGTCACTGCATCATCTCATGCCCAGGCATATGCAAATAATGTCTTGCCACAGTTTGTATGTGAGAGACTGAGCTGGGTCGTTTCTCAATAACGGCAGGTTATCTGTGTATTTATTTAATGACAGTCACAGAAGTTATTACAGACGATGCCCTGTAGATGTAAGTTGTGTGTACAGAAATAAAAGTTTTAAGAAGCTTTCTGTGTGCTGCATCACTGAACAGCATTGTATGTTTAGTTCATCCGGATGTGGCACCTGTGTGCCAGATGCTGGGGTTTTGTCTGCTGAAAGGCACACCAGAACTGCAGACTGGATATAGGCTGTGAAGTACCTGAAAAAAGCTTTATACTCTGGTCTTTTGATGACTTAAAAGTATTTGATGAGTTAAAACTACTTAAATTTCCAAGTCACTGAGCTAAATCAGGTATTTAGAATATAATTGTAGTGTTTTTGTCTCTTTTATGTTCAATCTTGTCAGTAGAGATTGTGAATTATGCTATTGGCAGCTTAGAATTTAGCATACTTTTTTGCCTTTCAGGGCTTCTCAGTAAAACAGGAGCAATTGGAAGTAGTGCTGTCTCAAAAAAAAACCCAGTGCTTTTTTATATAGTAGTGTTTCTCACATTGACAGCTTTTTAAACATGTAAAATAAATGTATCTTCAAGGTTTTTCTTTGGTATTTTCCTGCCAAGACTTCTAATGCAAGGAAGAGGTGTACCTCATAATTTATGGTCCTTTTCTGAATCACAGACAGGAATTTATGCTATGTCAGTAGGTTTTAGTATTGGTGATTACAAGCAGAACATAATTCTATTTGCTGTTTTTTGCTGAGCATGGAATGTGTCCCATCTCTAGTTTTAATGTGTGGGTGACATCTACAAATATTTTAAGGGGAAGCACAAGAGGTTGAAAGAGATCCCCAAATACTTACCTTCATGTTAGGTGTCCTTTCTACAGTGAACAAAAGTAGCCAAATTAGGAAAAATTACTCTGCTATGTTTCATTTACTTGAGTAGAGTACATTAGTAGAGTATCTGTTACTGATACTCAGTTATTAAAGTGTAATATATCTTGCAGTTCTAAGATGGTGAGTTAAAGGCCATTGTGAGGCAGACCACTAATGCTTTTCCTTGTTTCTTTTTTAGAAACCAAGTGCTTGAAATGTTTGATCATGCATATAGCAATTATATGGTAAGTAAAATACTTGTTGGTTTAATTTTTTCAGAGTTATTTTTGCTGACTTGGGAGAGAAAGCAGTCTACAGTGTCATAGAATCATAGAATGGTTAGGATTGGAAAGGACCTTAAGATCATGTAGTTCCAACTCCCCTGCCATGGGCAGGGATACCTCACACTAGACCATGTCACCCAAGGCTCTGTCCAACCTGGCCTTGAGCACTGCCAGGAATGGAGCATTCACAACTTCCTTGGGCAACCCATTCCAGTGCCTCACCACCTTTACAGTAAAGAACTACTTCCTTATATCCAGTCTAAACTTCCCCTGTTTAAGTTTAAACCCATTACCCCTTATCCTATTGCCACAGTCCCTGATGAAGACTCCCTCCCCAGCTTCCTTATAGCCCCCCTTCAGATACTGGAAGGCTGCTATGAGGTCTCCACGCAGCCTTCTCTTCTCCAGGCTGAACAGCCCCAGCTTTCTCAGCCTGTCTTCATATGGGAGGTGCTCCAGCCCCCTCATCATCCTCGGCCTTTCTCTGGACTTGTTCCAACAATTCCATGTCCTTTTTATGTTGAGTACACCAGAACTGTACACTATACTGCAAGTGGGGTCTCACAAGAGCAGAGTAGAGGAGCAGAGTCACCTCCTTTGACCAGCTGGTCACACTCCTTTTGATATGGCCCAGATGTTCTAGAGAAATAGCATGGAGGTAGGGGCGGAAACAAAGGTAAATTAGTAAGAGCACTTGTACTGCCTTTGAAAATAAATGAATAAATCTTACTTACGGGACGA